TTATGATCCTAGAAAATTGGGCATAATTCCTTTTTTTTCCTAAAATAGAGCCATTTTCTTTGCTTGCTTTTGTTTTGACATTCTAGAGCCTTCTAATTTAATTTGTTTTGCTCTCGATATGTGGCTGACTGGGTGACACTGCTTAACCGCACCAGTTGCCACCCAAACAGAGCTTAAAGTATGGAAGGCAAGTGAGGTTCTGGGGGCATACATGCTGCTCACGATCAGAGGTTGGAAAACAGTTTCCAAGTAATTGTTTGCAAGTAATTTGATGGAAATGATGTAATAGATAATTAATGAAAATGAAGTGAGATATTGCATTTTTACCATCTCAGTTATATGATTTGTAAACATAGCAATTATGAAAGGATGTGAATGTACAAAGTCTGTGTGTATTTGTGCTGGGCACGGTTTACTCGTAGTTAACTTCAGTGTAAAGGAGAGGGAGAGAAAGAAATGATAACGTGTTGTTTTCAGTATTTATATTGTGTCGTCTCGACTCCCACCCAATTCCTTCAATTGTCTCCTAGATTAGAACCAAGTATTGTTTCTATGAGTGTTTTTTTTTATTTGTTTGTTTGCTTTTGAAATTTCAACACTCCTCTTCCCCATTGCCCAACTCCCCCCACCTTTGTGAGTAAGAGAAAGAAGAAAGCAGGGTGCATTGTTTAATAGTCTGCAAGTGTCCCAATGATATGGTGTCCTTTTGGAGAAAAAGGAAACTGCCGGAAGTGCTTGAGCCTTTACCAGCAGTCGCTGGTGCAAAAGATGCTCCTCTAGTTGCTGGTATTAAGTAGCAGCAGGCCCAAACTAGCTACGTTCAGATGGCCAAGCACAGCTGTATTTCTGCCATTCAGGAGGGTTTGTGTGCACCTGGGATGGGCCACACCCCATTGGTATCAGTCAACAGCATATCCTGCACTGTTTTCACTTTTTTTTTTTTTTAATTCATGATATCTCCAGGAAGCTCAAAGAAAGAGTCAACTGTAGGTGCATATGTGTGTTTAAGTCCAGTATTTTAAGGCTAGCACTCTTTAAATGCTTGCCAGAAGTTTTATTCCAATTTCTGATCCCTTGAAGGCAGCTAGACAGAATCATTCTAGATCTTCATAAATTGCCTCCTGTGATTCATTGTGAGCTCACACAGCCCCATGCAGCTCACTCATTTCTGTACATGCAAACAGTTAGCATAGCTATAGTACAGGGATATTGGGTTTTTTTCCCCTTCCCAATTGTCTTCTAAGGAAAAGAAATTCAAGAATAAGCTTCACCTCCCAGATAAGGCCCAAGCCCTTGTAGCTACATGGAGCATCAGAAGTGAATTTTTATCTCGAGGAGGGTAAGGTTGGGTGTCCGGGTTGCGGGGGACAAAGTTTAGTTTTCGTGGAATGCTCTCAATGAGGGCCCTATAAATATTAGACAGCTGTAGTTAAAAATTCACATGACTGTTTTAAATACTATTGATTTAAACCACTGGCTAGATTTTATGAATCAAAGTGTAATTTCTAAGCTTTGGCCATATTTCTCGATGCTAAACCACTCTCTCTCGTGTGCCTTTAGCTGCTTTCCAGACATTCAACACAGGATTAAATGATAGCAGTTACAGTGATCAATAGGTGAGGGCTGCGACAATCACTCTTGCCGTTAATGACCTCAGTAGTAATGGGTAATAAAGTGTGGGCTGTAATAGCCCCTCGCTGGTACTGCATGCCCTTTGATTCCTAGTATTAGTAGGGACTAGCTACACGAGAAAGCTGGACACTGGGAATTAAGGGAGTGGATATATAGGCCATAATTCTTAACTATTTAGAACTTTAAACTTTGCTCCAATTTTTTTTTTTCTCTCATTTCTTTTCCACCAGAAACTATAGTTTCTGGTCCATCCGAATATTTTTGTGAAACCTTGCCACAACCTCCTGTCCTGATATATTAGAGCAAAAACTTGAGGTGTGTGTGTGGGGGGGTGGGGATGGTTATGACCAAAATCTGTTTCACTGCATTTGAAAATGAAGCTCACTGGCCCACTTTGGTGGCTGGGAACCAACTGATGTGAAACTGTGGTTTCAGATAGTAAAAGCAGAGTTCAAGCCATCAGGATATAATGGCCCACTTCAGATTACTCAGGGACCGCTCCACTAGTTGGGAGGGTTACTCAGGCTTCTTGCGCCTGTCCCTGGCTGGGCTGCGCCTGCTGCTTGAAGCATTTTATTACTCATCAGACCCTCCATCAAAGTGTCCAAAGGGAGCAAGCAGGGGAGAGTCAAGTTCATTCTACTGTTCTGCAGTTCGACTGCCAACAATGAAGAAGTAACTATGGGAAAAGGAGCTGGAGACCATTGGCAGTCTGCAAGGCTTTAAAAATTACCTGCACCTGTCAGTCTTTCCCGGTCACTCTTTTTTATTGACAGCCAAGGGGTCATGGTGTTTCTCACTTAAAAAGACACACACTGTTTTCCCAGGCTTACAAATAAAATGCTTTTAAAATATATGATTTTTAAAAAAAGCACAGTAGCATATATGCCATTACCTACAGTGGTTTAGATCCACCTTTATTAAGGTAGAATGTGTTTACTATAGAATACACTCTTTATCTAGTTGGAAGAGATTTGACATTCATGAATCTATGTGGCCCCTATAATATTTCCATCACCCCCTCTCCAATTTACCCAGGTCCTTTTCTAACACAGAGGCTTCAGACCACTTTTAAAAATGACGATGAGGGGATTGTTTCTGTACTGTTTCTCTGCCAGGTTCTCTTAGGTTCGTGTTCATCACCAGTTCAGATTTTACACCACCCTGTTCCTGTCTGTTTTCCTGTCCATCGCCATTAGACATTTGGCTCACAAGTATTTGTGTTGTACGCCATCCAAGAAATGCAGAGAGAAAAAGAAACCTTAAACATGGTTCCTTTGTTTGCTTCAGTGAGCCTCCTGTATGGCCATGCGACTCTCAAGGAATAGTAAACTTCTATTGTGATATGCTGGCTTCAGGAGCTCTGAAGATGGAGATTGGCACCCAGTGCATGTTTAAAAATTCAGAAAGTTTCTTCTGGATGAAGATGAAGTTGACTAATTGGAATTAGTACATAGATGGTTAGATGTTTTGATAGTGTCTTCTTGGCGTTTGCCCTAGACTGTACGCAAGTTCAGTGTTCCAATCATTGGTGATATTTCATGCTGCGAATTATCTTTTTAAAAGGATAATTTATCCATTCATATACATCTGTCCCTTTTTGCATATAAAAATATTCAGACATGCCCATCTGTTTTAAATTACAGTGTAACTACATCTACACTTAAAAGACCACTGCAATAGGAAGAATTCATGGATGACCTCCCCGAGTTGGGTTAATGAAATTTTTTGAGTGTTCTAGCTAGTGTTTTCTAAACACGTGAAACTTGTACATGAACCTCCCCCAACTTCCCCCCAACACACAACACACCACAACAACAGTGGAGAATGATCATTGCATGTGAATCTGACCTTCAGGAACCATTTTTAGTTCATCAAAATTAGTGATGCTGAGAAATCGGGACATCAGTGCATAATGAGTGTGAAATTAGGAATGAGAGCTCGCTATGCAAATGACAGGGCAAGTCATGTGAAAAAGTCAAGATAAACTGCATATTAAGACATTATGTTACATAAAATTAACACTCCGTTTCTCTCTTTTGCTTACTGTTCCCTCGAAAGATTTTTTTAAATTCTTTTATCTTTTGATCAGCTATTGTCTGCAGGATTTTTTTTTTAAAGTGGCACACAGGCAAAGTGCAAAACATGTTATTACCTTTTATTGTAATACATGAGATGACAGCAGACCCTTTTTAACAAAGTATATATCCTTTACAGCTTCTAGCTTCTTGCTGGCACATTTGCTAAAAAAACCAAAGAAAAGTAAGATGCTTAAATATTACTCTAGGAGACATTTGGCTCTTGTCTTTTCTTTTATTGTGTTTTTTTTTTTTCTTTTCATATCTTTTTATGGGGGGGTTGATTTTTCATGAAGTAGTCTTCTTGGATTACGGGGACTGACAAAATGGTTCTCATGTAGTCTGAAAATTAAACACAAGTGCCGTGATTATTTTGAATAGCTAAATTACATTCTAGAAAGCTTGCAGAATTCGTAGCATTGTCATTAGGTATCCGCTTGAATACAATTTGTGTAACCTTGGCCAAGACAGCCTGTCATTTTAATGTCAGTGTTTTATCTGAACAAGACATCATCCTTTCAGATACAGTGTGCAGGTTCTTTGCAAAGATGCCCGTGCAGAAGCGTGTTAACAGTTGCAAATACGAAATGCTATCAAGTTCATCACTGTAGCTGTTTGTCACTGAAATGTCATGGAAAGCGGCTTTTACCGGTATCACACATAATATGAAAGAATTGAGACATCTGTATGCTGGGTGAATAAGGAAGGGTGAAAGGCATCCTAGGAAGGGTCCATGTTTTAAGTTCAGAAGGTGTGTCCTCGATTCTCTCCCCACCGGGATCCACCCCAGGCTAAGCATCGTTGATGACTCTGAAAATCTGAAAAATCACTGTCCACAAGGGAAGTGGGTCATAACAGCTGTGGCTCCACAGCTGTTTGTTCCTCCTTCATTTCCTCCCTAAAACAAAACAGAAGTGCAGGTTGACTTCTCACAGCAATTTTTGCCTAAAAATCAGTTGTGAATAAGGGTAGATCTGCCCCTAATCCTGATAACATTTGCTAAAGTGTGCTTCCTTCTTGGCTTGTAAAGCCACCCTGGCTGCAAGATTTTCTTTTCCATTTCTTGACTTGACCTGCGTCTGTGATGCCCTGAGTTTGGTACTTAGCGACAACATCACAATAAAAATTGATAATGATAATTGCACAAGGGTTTATATAGGATTGTGGTCATATCTCTTCATGATAAATACATACATTGGGAAATTGGTCAATTCTTGAATTAGGTGGCCCCTGGGAGACTGAGGGTGTGTGGCTTCCTGGCTTCCTACTTACCCTTCATTAATGTTCCAGGTCCCCGTGTCAGTGGCTATGATGACACCTCAGGTTATCACTCCCCAGCAAATGCAGCAGATCCTCCAGCAGCAAGTGCTGAGCCCCCAGCAGCTCCAGGTTCTCCTCCAGCAGCAGCAGGCCCTCATGCTTCAACAGGTAATTGTCCTCCTCCTGCCCACTCTGCAGAAGCCAGGGCCTCACAACTCAGTTCACAGTTCCCCTTAACCCACACAGCTGTTTCCCCCTTGAAGAATGAACAATGGCTGGCTAAGTAGCACAGAGCCCTACCTGGTCCCCAAGTGATAAGTGTGGCATCAGTGCCCCTGAAGGAGCAGAATGATGCCATGGGTCCAGGGCTCAGGTCTGGAGAGTGCTCTGTGAACTGAGACTCATTAGGGTTGTGATTGGACTTGGTAGGAAAAGACCTTTCAGGCTTACATGACTTTACAGTCTTTTATTTGGTAAGCCAAGAGACTTCGAAATGGCATGAATCAAAGCAACATGAGGTGCACACTGGAAGCAAATTTATACAGATAGCTCTTGGAGTCCCCATTTCAACTCCAAGTCTTACCTTTGAATTTTTTTCCCTTGGGCATATAAAGAAGCATTTTGGAGTTCATTAATTTTCATGGCACAGAGTTTACTTTTTCCAAACATACGATGCTCAGATAAACTTGTAACTGTCCTTGTATCTTGGGGACATAATCCTCAGACTTAAGAGGCAACCTGAACCCAACAGTTAAGGCTAGCTGCTACAGAGATAGAAGTCGCTGGCATAGAATGGTGAGGATAGACTGAGGAAGTTCCCAACACCATTGAAGTATCCAAGAGTGGGACCCTCCTTGCCCCTTCCCCCATAATTTAGAAAGCCTGTACTAGAGACTGACCAGACTCTGCAAGGGCATCTTGGCTTTGTTGTACAATCGAAGGTCATCCTTTGCCTTATTTTAATTAATTTGTGTAGAAAATGGTATGTTTTTCATCAGTTCATTTCTGAGATTACTCCTCAGACCTTAATGCCAAGAATAGTCAGTGTGCGTGGAATTTATTGTCAGGTTTCAAAGTAAAAGGTCAGGCCATTCCAGATAAAAGGATGCTATTTTTCAAATCACAGTTTGTGCATGGCATGGAGAGGGACGGTGGGCCTCGGTCGTCTGTTACTTACCGTCCCCTCCTCTCTCTCTTGTAGCAGCAGCTTCAAGAATTTTATAAAAAACAACAAGAACAGTTGCAGCTTCAACTTCTCCAACAGCAACATGCTGGAAAACAACCGAAAGAGGTACCGACAATGCATATTTTACTTTCAAACCTCAGATCTCAGGGGACTATCTAGTGGCTATTAAACTGTCATTCATCTTTTAAATGATTGCCCAACTCAGCTGACTCTATCGGTTCTTGGCTTCTCAGACCAAGAATTATTGTCCTGTTTGTACAAAGATTTCTTGATTCCTTGCTTTAACATCACCATCACAGCATACCTCTGTGTGGTGACAGCATCATGAGCAGCATTCTAGGCTCCTTTGGCACTACAGAGGACCAGCATGTAACCAGGGTGGGGAGGGACAAAAATTGGAGGAGGACACACACTTAGGTGTCCCCCTCCCACACACCACTTAGTCATTGGTTTGTTTGTTTGATGAACTCAAGTGTTTGGGCCGGTGTCAATGGCCTTTTCCATTGGCAAGCTAACTTCTTGTAAGGTCAGGCAATCAAACAAGACATTTAGAACATGATTAAACATCCCATCTTCGTTTGACCTCTTGCATGTTGAGCATGTCCTAATTCCTAGTGCATGCACCAGATAGCATGACTTCAAGTTGGGGGACTTTAGCTCAGGTCATCTGTACTTAACTGAGGCAAAACAAACCAACACTACATGGTATCTACTTCTACCTCTCAGTTCTTTGTAGTGTTCACAATGTACTTCATTTGGCTGCACTGCCCAGGCCAGTGATATTTGGAGTCCCACATACCAGGAGATCTCCCCAGGGCTTCAGTCCCACTTTGCCTTTTATATGCTTCCATGAGTCTGAGGTGCTGTCACTTTTGGAAGCTGCCTAGGTATTAGGATACCCTCCCTCCCACCCTTTACAGTGGTCCCAAAGCTCTTGCTTCAGTATCTCTCCTGTGACAACAAAATTTATAATTCCTTGGACAGCGTGCTACCTCTTTCTTAGCTTCTGTGCTAGCCCTACACAGTTGGCCACTTTGCTCTTATGGAGGGAGTCTTGCCAGGTGACTGACTCCTCATCCCTGCCCCTCACAGGAGTATGGATGATGGTTTTACACATGGGAGTTTCCCAGACTTTTCTCCCCATGCCAGCTCCTCCCTTTACACAAATTGGGTTCACTTTCTGTGCTCTGCCAAGTTTCCCCACCCCGGAGTCCTGTTTAGCAGGCTGCTTGTAAACCCCCGTGGACCAGGGGCAGTTTTGGGTAAAGGGGAGGAGGCATATTAATGAAAATGCTGACACAACCTTAAGGACAGTGGCTCGCTACCAGGCGCTGCTCTAATAAAAAAGGAACAGATTAAAAAGTGTCTAAAATGTAAATCTAAAGGACTAACAGTAATTAAAATGGAAATGGCACGGGGAGGGAAGGCATGTAATTGTGAGATATCACCCCGCAGAAGGCTCTCAGCTTTGTTTTCCTGGCTGTTTTTCTAATTCAGCGGGGCTTACTCATCAGTGGCAGTTCAATGCGCCTTAATGACTCTGGGATTGCAGGCATCACTCTGGACAAAGAAATGATTATTGTGCGGTCAAAAGAAGTTCAAAGACAAGGAGGGAATTTCAGTTTTTTCCCTTAGAGATCCACATTCAAGAGCATATAAATTAAGCCAAATGTTAAAAACCACAGTCTGAAAGCTGACTTCAAAGTCACAACTCTCTAATTAATGAACTGCGAGCTTCAGTTTGGACAAGTTGGGGTTTGATGCGCCCATAAATCAACATGACAGGCCTGTTTCACAGTCTCAGACAGTGCTTGTCATTGAGTCACATCAGATGTAAACACAGCAGAAAAAAGAAGGGCTATGAAGGAGGTGCAATTGATCAACAGAATTGGTAAAAACCCACTTTTGAAGCACATTATGCATGATCACAGGAAATGGTTACAGCCTCAAGAGGTTTCCCCTTCTGCTGTTGCTTTTTTGAATCAGATTTCTCACAGCCTTCAAAAGGGAGAAGAAGAATTATGGAGTTTCTCCCCCGTGGCTTGCAGGCAATAACCCCCTGTTGTTATTTTGTGCTTCTTTCTTTTCAAAGGCATCAAAATTTAGTTTTTTAAAGATCTTTAACTCTATATTTGAAGACACACTAAAAAGGGCTGCCACTGTCCCTCTTATCAGTTACCAGGGGCTGTCTGTGTTCTTCCTTCCCGTTGCCACTTCTTATTAACCTCTTATTTGGTCTTGTAGACAGAGTTGGGAAAGCACGTCCTCGTGCTGGGAAGACATGAAAGTTCAGATGAGCTCTGAGGGCTCTAGAAAGAGGAGGAGTGGGGGAGTTCCCCAACGGAAGAGAGAGAGTTCCCAAAGTGCTGTTGTCAGGAGGTGGGGGACACACAAACATGACAGTGACATCTGAGTTTGGGCAGAGAGTGATGGCCAAATGAGCATGTTGTGTCCATAGGCAAAGAGAGTTCTGCACTGTAGTAGGCTTTTGTGTTTGTTTGTTTGCATCCTGAGGACTGTGAGCTTATTGTGGCCCATGGCTTGGTGTGGCCTCAGTGTACCTAGAGGAAGGCAAGACGGGTAGGGTCAGACAAGTATGTCCTTGAGTTTTGATGTGTGCTCATGGTGCCACTGGACTGTTAAACCAGTAGTTAGGAGATCCTGCTTCTCTGAAGGATGTCAAGGGCTTGTGCCCCAGAATCACCATGCAGGCGATGGACCTCCTGCTCTGTGGTGAAAGCGTCACATGGTGGCAGCTGTGTGGTGTGGCCTGGTGGTGATAACTTTGACAGGGTTTGAACATAGACATTGGCAGATGGGGCCAGTGTATTCCTTTACAGAATGAATGCGCTGTCATTAGAGGTGCATCCTTTTCTGCCTTCAGGTACTCCCCCCTCCCCCCCTTTCTGACTGTCTGTGGACTCATAGCCAGAGCACAATGCAGTTGCTGTCTTTTTCCCTGAAGGTGTGTTTGATACCTCCTGGGAAGTTTGACTTCACTTTGAACCAGAACCAAGATGCTCCTTTGGAGATAGGTGCTGGTGGTGTCAGAGATGTAGCCCAGGCCACCACAGAAGCTCAGCTTCTGGATTATTCTGGACTTGGGTTGTTTGGGAAGTAGATGGAAGAACTCACTTTAAAATTGAGCCTGGTGTATGTGGGGGTGCCATCCTGTGTGGTGAGGTGGCTAAGTCGATTGTTTTAAAAGGGCCGTTTGTCCTGGGCAGTTATGACAGTTTATGTTAGGCAGTAGGGAGTAGCCAAAGAAAGGAAAACAGACCTTTGACTGCAGCTCTAGGGAGGGGACCTGAACCGAAAGGTTTATCAGGGCATTTGAGCATTTTAACACTGACTGCTGACCTGTCCCGGGACTGTGCAGAGACCTTTTTTGTATGCATTCAACTGTGAGAAGTAAACAAACGGCCTCGTATCCTGTGTTTGGTAACTGGGTGGGGAGCACGGTTTGGCAACCAGTGTTGCTTTTAAATTCTTCTTTGGACAATGGGCCTTGTATACTTTTATATCCTGGCTTTTCAAACGTGGACAGCTTTCATGGGCCTTTCCTAGGGATGGCCACAGACAACAGAAAAAGGCATCAGTCATTTTATATAAATACACAGTTTTTAAACATTCATTTACAGTAAGACAGGAAGCACCCGCCCCAGCCCCCAACCCCCCCCTTTATATTTGACTTCAACAGGGGCTAATTCCCCAGTCTTTGACTGTGTCCATAACCCTCTTCTTTAATGTCATGAGTTAATATCTGTTGAAGAAGTGAAAAAATCCTTTTGACACGAATATAACTATCACTGGGTTTCACATTAATGTGGTAACTTGGGAAGGGGTGAAAACAATTGGATCATTTTCTGCATGCTGTTCTTAAAATGAAAGTACTGGCTTTTCATTTAAATTTATTTAAATTTTTGTTGTTAGTGGTATAGAATTTGTTTTTTGGAGTGAAACTCAATTAACTTTCTCAGTGGCGTGGTGGTAAGTCTGAAATTGGTTACTAATATGAGGACGATGGCTTTTTTTTTTCTCTCTTTTTTTTTTTTTTTTTTTTTTTTTTTTTTTTTAAAAAAAAACAGGGGGGCCAAAAAGAAAACTGTGTTTTGTTTTTTTTTTTTTTTTTTTTTTTTTTTTTTACTGTAAAATAAACTACATGGAGGCCAAAAGGAAACCACCGTTTTTCTCTTCCTTTGAACTTTGCATCAGAAGGTCTTGGTGCACACACCATTTCATGGCCATATCAGATCAAGGTCATGTGTTAGGTTAAGTGAATGCAGTTGTTTGTAAAATATCATTATTAAGCAAAGCCGGCTCTAAAAATACTGGGTCATCATCTTAGTTGTAAAAGTCTCGCTGACCTTTGGAATAATATTCAAAATTTAAAAGAGCTCTTGTGTGTTCCATAAAGAAGACATACATACATACATACATACATACATACATACATACGGTTCAGTTTGGAAAGGGTTAATTTTTCCTTTCTAATTGTTAGCCATAATGTAGCCAAGACCTCCACCTCGATATGATTCCTAGCAGATTAAGGATATTAGATAATTTCCTTCTATTTATTGTAGTCCTGCACCGTATTATCTTTCTATCACTCAGATAATTACTGAGGAAATCTACATTAATTTTTTTTGGCTGGGGTAAAGCCTGCTAAACACAGGAATGATGTATTGATGTTTTACACAACAAAAGTTTTCCTCCTGTCATTGTCCAGTCAACAGAGATATTTATCATATCATAAAGCCCCTCCTTTCTAGAACAAAGTGGGCGGGGGACACAGGACAACTTGGAGGTTGAAACTCAAGCCAACTGAAGGATCTTAAAGCTTGGAGAGCCTGTTCACATTAAACACTCATAGTGGAGTATGATGTTGTTTGCTAAATTATGAATGTTCGTAATTAAAACCTAGTGGCTGTTTCTATGAAAGATTTACAATGTTATTTCATCATTTGTCATGGCTAATTAACAATATTAGATGAAGTTTTTCTTCTTCAAAGGTCTGATTTTTTTTCTCATTTATTTATGTCAGAAGCGATAAACACTAGTGAAAGGTCCTTGCCAATGCAGGAAAGGAGGGAGGCGTCTTACTCTTTTACACCTCAAGGGTATAGGGTTCAAATCCCTCCAGACTAGAAGGATGAAATCTCCTTTTTAGTGTGAATAATTACAGATTTCAAAGTCTCCAAAGTCCAGGTAGTGACTACAGAAGTCATGCTTTCCCCACTGTTGGGAAAGCAGGCTTGTCAAAGGAATTCTCGTCCTAGGAGGGTGGGAAGCACTAGAGTTAACACAGACCCCTCCCCCCTTACCTGTCTTCAGACATGCTATGTTGTGTCCCTTTTAAACCTTGACATGGAGCCTTCCGCTGAGCTCAGGTGGCAGTCCTCAGGTTTTTGAAGGTGGTAGCGAGTTTTGAAACATGCACGCTTTTAACCTTCTTTGGAAAGCGGCCATCTCATTCTGCCCCTCACTGTCTCTTGCAGCAACAGCAGGTGGCTACCCAGCAGTTGGCTTTCCAGCAGCAGCTTCTACAGATGCAGCAGCTGCAGCAGCAGCATCTCCTGTCTCTGCAGCGCCAAGGCCTTCTAACAATTCAACCCGGGCAGCCTGCCCTTCCCCTCCAACCTCTTGCTCAAGGTATGCATCCATTAAGGCAACTCTATGAAGACAGCGGGCAGGGGGGATGGGGTGTTTCTTGATATCTGCCTGCTTGTTATGCAGAGAAATGCCCACCTGAAACAAGCAGAGAGAGACATTAGGCAAACAACCAAAAAAGCAGATGGGCCCTCGCAATGCCTGTTGATGTCAAGAGGAAGAGTCAGGGATCCAAATGCTCACAGGGACAGTGTTGCAGTGTTGGGGGGAAAATAAAGGAAATCAAAGGTTCCTTGCTCTTACTAAATGTTTCAGTGCAGTCCTTGGACATTTCGGTTCCGAATGTTCTTTTAACATGCTGTTTAATCATACATATTAAGGCATGTTTTACAGCATGCAAAGTTCTCTCTCTTTTTTTTTTTCTATATACACCCCTTCTCTTTCTCCCTCCCTCCCTTCCTCCTTCCCTTCCTCCCTCTATGGTAGGATTTCTGACATAGCTCAGACTAACCTGGAACTCAACAATAATCCTGCTTCTACCTCCTGAGTTCATGATACTGGGTTCTTTGTTTAAATTTTAGTATCTTAATAATATTTTATGTAAGCACCATTAAAAAACATTTATTAATTGCATTTTTATTTGCATGTGTGGCTGTATACCATGTGTATGTCTGATGCTTGTAGAGGCCTGAAGAAGGTGTCAGATCTCCTGGGACTAGAATTACAGACAGTTGTAAGCTGCCCTGTGGGTGCTAGGAATCGCACCCAGGGCCTCTGAAAGAACAGCCAGTGTTCTTAACTGTTGAGGCATCGCCTCAGCCCCTTGAACACAATTTTTTAAATATTTAGGTACACTATCAATTTTATTTCCACCATGGATGTTAAAATTGATCTGTCTTCTAAAAATCAGTGGAATATTTTTTGTTTTGTTTCTGTTTCTTTTATACTTTTTTCTGCTGATTTTTAGCTAATGAGTTGAGCACTCAAGTTATTTTTTTTTTTATAAACTTTTGTTCCTTGAAAAGTATCAAGGATTTTTGATGGGTTTTTTGTTGTTGTTGCTTGTCTGTCTTTAGTGTGTGTGTGTGTGTCTGTGTGTGTGTGTGTGTGTGGTGTTTTGCCTGCATGTATATCTATCTGTGTACCATGTGAATGTCGCACCCGTGGATACCAGAAGAGAGTGTCAGGTCTTTGGGAGTTGGAGTTACAGATGGCTGTGAGCCGTTGGGAATCATATGGGTGCTGGGAATCTAACCCCAGTCCTCTGGGAGAACAGTCAGTGCTTTTATCCAAAGAGCCATCTCTCCAGCCCGGAAAAGTATCAATGTTTAGTAGATATCTTGAATATTTTTTTTGAAAAGTTGCTGGCATAAGAGATAAAGGTAATCTGTAGGTGTTCTTAGGAGACCCTGAGGGTCTGATTTACTCAGGACTAAAAGGGGAATGGAAAGGAAGGCTGTTGGAAAGCTATGTTTAAAAGCCAGTTCCCTTGTCCCAATTGCCTGTCTTTCCATGCTTGTGCAGGCCACATCCTCAGACTTTACCAAATATATATTGAGAGACAGAAAAGAAGCCATCCTGCTATCTGGGCTGAACATGGGCAGGTGCCTTTCTTGTTATTCTACCAATAGTCGTAGATAACAATGGTTTAATTATTCACACAGTATTAAGTACCACAAGTAAGAAAGGGCTGATTGAAATTTAAATAGGATGATCATAGGTTCTGTCAAATACCATGACATCCTCTCCTCTCTTTTCCTTTCATTTCTTCCCCCTCCCCCCTTCCTCTTTGTCTTTCTTTCTTTCCAGACTTTGTAACCCAAGACTGGCCCCCAACTCCTGACTCAGTCCCTTGAACAACAGCTGAGAATTTAGGTGTGTACCATGACCCAGTGTAATGCCTAGTTTTTTTATATGAGGGATCTGAACATCCTTGCTCCCTGGTGTCCACAATGGGATCCTACAAATACTCAAAAATAACTGTGTGTGGTACTGCGGCCACATTCTTAAGGCCCACAGACCTTCCTGTTGTAGTTGCCACTGGATAGATGGTAGCTACAGCTTCCTAAGTTTTGGATTCAATTACCTTCTGAAGCAGGGAGAGAATGATTGAGTCTCTTTTGTCCAGCTGAAGAGGCAGTCATTTGTCTAGAAACTTTTGGTGTTGCATGGAGCCAGTGAGGCGTGTCTATTTAGGTTTTGTCTCCCAAGTCAACCACACCCAACATCTGTCCCTTATGGTTTTTGTTGTTGTTTTCTTTGCTTTTAATGCTAAAACTGCGGCTCTTTCCTCCTTTCACTTCCTCCTGCCCCCCCACCTGTCCTTGCCTTGTCTACTGAGTTGTTTGGTAGCTGAGAGGCATCTCCTCTGTTGCTGTCCGGTGGGAAGAAGTGGGAACTGAACACAGGGCAAAAGAAGGACACTTGGGCTAATGCATTTTTGTGCTTGCATAATGTCATAACCTGCATTAATTACACCCCTTGGTTTATTGTTGGAAACATGGCAGGCTGTTCTGACACACCCACCGGACTTCACTTGCTCTCGTCTTTTCCCACCGCCCCTGCTCTATTAAGTTTGCTCACTAAGGTTCATTGTTACAGTACATCAGTTAAGCTGTCCGAAAGAGGGCAATTGGGCAGTGACAAGACAAGCTCGTGTGTAATGTGAAAGGAATGGACGTGGTGATGCATGCAGTGTCATCTCTGCAGTAGCACATCAGAGACACCGTAGGCAGTTCACTAGTCGTGGCATTGATTGATACGCTTAGCAGTCGGCTGTAACTATTAGCGCCTGCAACATTAGGAAGAACCATATGTGGCGTCTAAGGGGTGCCTGTCTGTGTGCCCAAGACGGCATGAATGTAAATGTTGGCATTGCTGGCATTAGACGCTGGGTATGAAGTGGACCACAGTTATGGCTGTCTCTCGTGAAGCAGGAGCTCACTTTGGTCTCCCCAGCCTCCTCGGCAAAGTGGCTCGAGAGCGTTCAGTCACGTTTGAACTACAACACAATTCTTTTTTATCCGAGAGATGATGGCTTAAAACTGATGTCATTATGTGGTTTAAATCAACTTTCTGCTTGCTTGAACATGGTCACCTGGGTACGAGTGTACAAGGACACAAAAAGGTTGATCCACTGTTTGTCTTGGAGCCAGTGATACCTGGGGTTGTAAAATTGAGTTCCACAAGCAGTAATCTGTCAACTGTCCCCAAAACATACATTTTTTAAACCTGTGCCTGCATTTTCTTCTATAATGAAGGGACAGGTTGTCCTGGGGAAAAAAAGAAGAGGAAGAATAAAAGAAATGTAGTGAGGCGTCGGGGTTAGGTATCTAAAAGTGATGGTAATGCCTACTGCATAATAAAAGCATCAGGATTCTTCTGCAGCTCATACATGGCCTTGCCCAGTTACCTTAAACCTCTGTGTAAATCTGAAAGTATAGGGATAGTGAATGATATTTTAAAAAGCCATTTCCTGGATATTTTGTAGTAGAGTGTTTTTTTTTTTCCTTTTTGGATTATTCTAGAGCAGTGGTTCTCAACCTTCCTAATTCTGTGACCCCTTAATACAGTTCCTCATGTTGTGGTGACCCCCAACTGGAAAATGTTTTCATTGCTACTACATGTAATTTTGCTACAGTTACAAAATTAGGCAACCCTGTAAGTGGGTCATGCAGCCCTGAGTTGAGACCTGCTGTTCTAGAGCCTTGATTCTGTTTGCCATATTAAGTCTATCTTTTCTCACCCCATTTCATTCAGCATTTGATTGTCCTTAATTCCAGTAGTTTCATACAGAAATGTCCTATTTCTGTTTATTGCAACCTTTCCTTTCTTTCTTCCTTCCTTCCTTCCTTCCTTCCTTCCTTCCTTCCTTCCTTCCTTCCTTTCTTTCTTTTTTTGAATGTAAGCTCTACATACTTGGTTATATATCAATTAGTGGGTTTGTCTAATTTGATGCTCTTACTGTACCATTCTGGAAGAAACACATGATAACTAAAAACGAGACATCCATGTAACTCTGATGGGTACCAGCTTAGCTGCTGTCTGTCTTAACTCTGCCATGAAGTGTAGGGTTTCTGGAGTGGCTAGTAGTCACTGGTAACAGTCAACTGCAAAAGAAGAATTGAATTAGCTGCTGCTTCTGTCTTCAGTCTATGAAGACTGTCTCTGAGCCTAACGATCACATTGACATTTGGCCCCAAGGTATCTGTTGTCACTCATCCAGTTCCCTCTTTCTGCTTGATCCATGTGGATGCTGAACCGGCTTTGCCAGCCTACTGGAATAAAAGCAACCCAGAATTGCACCAGTGCATTGTGCAGGTGTAACAAGTGGTGAACACATTTGTCTTGGCCTTAATTTGCCAGAGAAGTGCTGTCCTTTCGGACCAGCCACTGAGTCTTGCTTTCCTCAGAAGGAAGGTGTGAAGGCAGCTGTTCTTCCCCTTGCAGTTGACCCAGAAATCAATTAGTCTGAGTTGAAAAATAGGTGGCTATTTCTTTTCCTGTGTTTACTCACTGGAAAATAAAAATAGGTGTTGACTTCTATGCCTTCATATCAGTACACCCTCATCCACAGACCAGCCTGCTCCCCCCATTGTTTCAACCATGGTCCAAGGGTCAGCTTTGTTTACCGGTAATTGTCAGTGTGCGGTTCACAGTGGCAGACCTGCTAGCTATAGGCACATCCTACCTGTCACTTTGAAAGGTGTTTGAAAATAATAGCTCACATGCAGCAAAACCATACCCAGGATTGTGTCGTGACCTTTCCCTTTGTTTAATTTGCCTCAAGGTTTGATTTCAGGGGACAAGGAATAATTGAATATGCCTAATAACTAAATGCTCATTTGGGACAAAATCCATCAAAATATAATTGGCATTTGATTTTTATGAAGGGAGAAGGAAACCCACTCAGCTGTCGAGGATGCGTTTGAAGGATCTCTGACCACTCGATGCATTATTTGACGCTTCCTTTAGAATATATATTAATTGCAAATACTTGAGCATTTGAACATTTTCCCGGAGCACTGCTTGGAGAGACCAACTGTTTTTGTTACTGCTCCTCTTAGAAAGGCGGGGAAGGTTATTGGTCTGCTGTGCAATAATTTACTCCTCTTTGATATGCAAACGATCTACGGTGAATATAAAAAAATCCTATCAGACTCATTTCACAGTTCTTAACCACTCGGATTCTCTGGAGTCCATCGCCTCATTAGACCAGTGCTCTCCAATGCTAGCATAATTAAAATCTTTAACAGTTTAGCAAAGTAAAGATGTTTGGCTGATCACGTTGAGATGATTATCTAGCCATTGTATTCTAAATGACAAAAATAAATTAAATTTAGACCTTGGCATTTTTTTATTATGTGTTTCAAATTAATATAATGCACAAAGCCTTCTTCTTCTTCTTTTTTTTTTCAATCAATCCAGTACATTTTGGTTTGGTAAGAAACAAGCCTGTTTCGGCTGTTGCTATCTAACCAGAAAATGGCTGGCTTTCTAGGAGAGCTGTGTTCTAGCCGATGGAGATGATGAACTGCAGCCCAGACATGCAGTTCCGAGGGGGAGTTGCCTTGTGATGTCAGGGTGTGTGACTGTTCTTCCTCCTTCAGAGGAAGCTATAGCTTCTGCTGTTCTTGGGTGCCGTTCAGAGCCTGTCTCTGGGCATCTACATCAACCTAAAATATACACTGAACTAGAATTTGGGAAGTCTGGCCTCTAGAGGCTATGCTGGAGAGGATAAAGATAAAAAGGTTCATAGCGATGAGGTTAACATTCTGATTTTATCTCATCTCAGAGAAAATAAAGGTTGACAAGTATTTCAAGACCCCTGCCCATTTTGACCCCATTCAAACAAACAAGAGAACTTTTATTACTCTAAGCTTATTTTCCTTTCCATTTTTGCTCTGCAATGGCTCATTAGCGTTGATCTCAGAAATGACAGTAATAATAGTGTTACTTGTATAAAAAGTTACACAGTCTTCAGTAGACACATCCATCAATTAAGCATGTGGTACTAGAAACCAAAATTAATGAGGAAGATAGGTGTGTTAATGAAATAATCATAGTATAATCAATTTGACTGTTAAAAGTTGAAAAGCATTTCAGGAAGATGGTATGAATTCATAATTTATGTCTAAAAGTGATTAATAAAAACTGTATTTAATAACAAAGCTATTTGTCATCATTTAAGACTTAAGCACAAAAATTACTCATTTTGTGGTTTGTGTTGTCGTCATTTGACTATAGTTCAACAAATTTTATTTAGAGGCCTCCTGTGTACCTAGAAATAAGCTGGCCTGTCTCTACTCTTCTAAAACTGAGAAACAGCCTTTGGATGGAAGGAGTCATGCTGCTGCAGAATAGCTGTGCTTTACATCCATTTCAAGGTGTCTGTTCTGTGTGAAGAGGGGACTTCAATGGCGGCTCAGTGGGAGGGTGTACTTATCACTACTGTATCTGCCATAGTTGGGAGGGGAAAAAGGAAAGTGTGAACACCCAAAAGCCCCCCTAACACTAAGCTTTGTTTACTGACTCTTTGATTTAATTACTGTTTGAAGAGGACGGAATTAGCTGTTAATTGATTTGATTATCCAATTTGTTTGTTTCAGGCATGATTCCAACGGAACTGCAGCAGCTGTGGAAAGAAGTGACAAGTGCCCACACTGCAGAGGAGACTACAGGCAGCAACCACAGCAGCCTAGACCTGACCAGCACATGTGTCTCATCCTCGGCACCTTCCAAGACTTCCCTCATTATGAACCCTCACGCCTCTACCAATGGACAACTCTCAGTCCACACTCCCAAACGGGAAAGGTAGGAGCATACCCACCCCAGTCTGTGGTCAGTACTGTCTTCCACCTGGACGGGGCAGGTGGCCTTTCCCCATCCCGTGTCTCTGGGAAACCTAATTGTATTTATTCACGGGGCTTGGATGCGCATGTGATTACTTCAGGATGCGTTCACTATGGTTTGGGTGTGAAGCATCTAATTATTTTCACCTTTTCAACATGGAGTTAGCACTTTCTTAGATCTGCACTCGGCTTAGGAGCCCTGGCAGAAGTCTAGTAGTTCCTCTTTGGAAGGGTTGGTTCTCAAGGCTTCCAGGCCAACTGTGTGCTCTGCCAGGAGCTCACTCCATGTAAACTGAACGCCTTGGCTCCAGGCACCTGCGAGGGCGACAGTGGTGTGTGCTGTGGGCAATTTCAAGTCTTGGTTTAAGGAAACAATGGTATTTAGTGCTAGTCTACACTGCTTCCCCCTAAAGTGGGGGAACCCGTGTTCTTCATCAAGTGTCCTAGAAGGAAGCATGGGCATTTTCAACATAGACACTAAGGAGAGATTTAAATGATGGTGAGTTGGACTGTAGCACACATTCCCCTGATGGTCCTTGAGGTAGCACTGTCCCAGCTGGTACCTTGTTCCTGTTTATAAGTTAAGTCTTTATATTTTCAATGTCCTGAGCTTTAGATGAATGATAGGTGAAGCTTGGACTGTTTAGAGCCTGACTGCATTGTGTTCCTTAAAGCCATAAGGAAATGAAGCTGTTCATTCATTCTGTTACACCCAGAAGCAGTATTGCCAACATTGAAATACACTGCAGAAATGGGAATATATAATGCTCCTCAAATGGACCATTTTTTCCCCTGTTTATTTTATTTAGACTCTTTCCTATATATTTCATATGGAGAGCTTGTGGACACAGAGGGCCAGAAGCCCTGCCAGAATTTCTCACAGCAAAATATTTTTATCAGACAAAAGCAAATTCTCTATTTTGTTTTTGAGTCTGCATGGCTCAGTGAAAAAGTTTCACATTATCTATCAACAAAGCAAGTACAGTATCATTTCATATGTTTTCTAAAATGCTGAGTACTGTGCCCCTCCATTTTAACTAGCTATGTATTGTCATATAAGAAAAAAATGCCTTCTGAAATGCAGTGTACAGTTCTACATAATTGTGTAGTGATGTGCTGATATGTGGCCACCTGCACAGTGGTGGCCAGATAACATAATGGAGATGAAAAATCCCTTCGCTGATAGCATCGTCATTGTAACGGCACAGATGGAGGCATTTCCCCAGTGTTTGTAGGCCTGGTTGTGTACTGAACTCGTTGGGCTGTCAGTTGTCTGGAAAATATAGCACATACAGTTATAAACAGGACATAACCCTTGGCAGTGTTGATGTGAACAGGTGATGTGTTTACTGTACTGTGTAATTGTTAGTTTAGAATCTACTCCTACCGTACCTCTCCCCACATAAAAATATTTCACCATTTTAGTGGGGCAGCAACCTCTTACATCATGTGTTACCCCATGCCTTGTGCTTGGTTTTTCTTGTGCTTGCTTTAATGTTGTTTTCCTTGTGCCTGGTTTAATATCGGGTTGATTTGACCGTCCCATTGGGGCTGTAGGAGTAGTAGATGACCATACCATATGTGCCTGCACATACACACATTGCCTAGATGTGTAATCTTGTACCATTTATATCTTGTAACGTACCCTGTGATGTTGCCCATGTCTCAGAATGTATCCCTCCTGAGTGGCACACATATTTATGCATGTCTGTATATGTACCAGATTTGAGCTTAAAAAACATCAAAGGTTTTCATGTGGGGAGAGTAACACCTATGTTCTAACTAATAACTGCAAGACTCCTTGAAGATTTCTTTGGAATGTCTCTGGTAGACATGGAAAGAACTAAAAGATGCTTTAAGCCTAGTGGTCTAGAGGGGACTGAAGAATAGCATGGTGAACAGGAAGGATCGGTTTGTAGCCTAGGCCAAACACAGCTTCCTGGGTTTCCAGCTTTCCAGTGGTAAAGGATAAAGCTACCTGGAAACTAGTCTTTGATCTTGCTTTGGAATCTATTATAATACCTTTATTACTTTTCCTTTTAATTTCCAAGTAGCAAACCTTAGATGGCTTTAACAGAAAGATTCTAGGCTGCTGCCCTTTGTGGTACCGGCTCTCCCTGTCCTGAGGTTGATGCTCTCCATTTACTGCAGAGTGATTGAATTACATATTTATCCATAGGCGGAGCAGGAGGCCATGCACTGAAAAATGCCGACTGATGCACTTAAGGTATTTGTTGCAATCTTGTCGGCCGCTGTGGAGACTGCACAGATTTTCTGTGACACTGAAAGTCTCCTTGTTTAGATGCACTGTGCTGTCGGTTTCCTCCTAAAAGGTTATATATCTGTAGTCCGGTGGTAGAACGGCAAGGAGGCAAGCCGGAGAAGAATAGCCCTTTTCATGTCTTAAGACACGTTCGAGAGTAAGTGGATCTAAGACACAGTCTGATTCCCGCAGACTGAATTTGTTTGATTTTTTTTTTTAATGGTCCTTATTTGTCTGCACAAATGTTGCATTTAATCTTATGCTAAAATTAGGCTGTGGGCCAGAAAAGAATTCAGAGTTCCACCAGCCTGAGTCTGCATGTGAGAGAAAGGGCTGAGTTCTTGTTACGCACGCAGAGAGCAGGGAACTAGGAACTCATAAGACGTTAGTTACTCCCTTGATTGTCCCATTTCATAGTGTCTCATGCATTGGCAGTGGTGTCTGGATTCAAAGAAAACTCTAGCACAGACACTTGGCTTTAATTTTTGGTGAGTGCAGGATCTTGTACATACACGTGAAGCAGAAGCTTCACCAAAGAGGTAGAATCTCCACCTTGTAGCAGCAGATTTTGAGCTGATTCTAATACCTTAGGTTAATGATGCCTTAGTAGCTTTAAGCTTATAGAAGTGATTGATCAACAATCAATAATCTTTAAGCTGGTTGTATATAGATGTAGGTACTTTAAAATGAGTGTTAGCATGTGCTCACCTCATCAGGATGCATATTTATTTGTTTATTCATTTATTGGCAATGCTGGGGATACGCTAGGCAAGTAGTCTACCACTAGATCTCAGCCCCTTACTATGGTGTATTTTAAGTCCCATAGGTGGTGGCCACTTTACTTGTAGAAAAGAGTAGCAAAGTTAAGGAATAGGGGGGTTGTCACTAAGGAAGTATGTTCTCAAATGTACCCTGAGCTGTCAGGGACACAGCTCAGGAGTTCTCCTTCCTGCCATGAAAACCTTTTATCCCTCCCTCTCTAGGGCATTTGTGAAATATGCTTTCTTGCAAGCTCCCCTGTGATTGCCAGGGAATACACTTTTCCCTCCACCCTCAAGTACAGTAACCGAACAAGCAAGAGGCCTTGCCACTGTGCACGGTAATCCAGCCAGGCAAACTCTATCCTCAGTTAGCAGTCTTCAGGGGATTGTTTTCCTGAAAAGATCTAGGAGTGTTGTGTGTGAAAATTGGTTGGAGAGAAAAAGCAAGAGGATTTTTTTTGTTGTTGTTTAAAGTTGTGGGATGTGTTAGGCTCTTACCTGGCTCACATATCTCCATGCCATTTGGAAACCTCCGTCTTCCCACTCTTGCCCCGTACGTTTTTCAGCCTCTGTGAGCAGCCACCGCAGCAGTAGCTCTGGGGTTTGGTGAGCTGCAATCTGTTAAGGAGATAAATAATGTGCTTGGCACGACACTCCTACTCTCCTCTTTAATTTGTCTTACACAAGGAAAATTATAATTAAATCATTCAGGGTAAACCCTTGAGTGTAGAGAAGGGAAGAAACCCACTTTGGTAAAGATTGCCAATAGAAACCCACTTCCCTGTTGCGCAGGGTGGAGACGTCCATCAGTATTCAGCAGTGTGTGAGGACGAGCGGCCCATGTGATTTGTGAGCCGGATGCCAACACTCAGATCAAGGCTTGTTAAGATCCTGTCCCCGTGCAATCGTGGACAGTCAGCATCGTTAGAATTCAGTGCGGTGCCACGCTTCCTGCTTTGAGTCTCTCCTGACAATTTAATAATGTTTATTGTGCTGATTATATATAAAGCCATTGGTGCAATAAACACCCCTGTTGTCAGTGCCTCAGAGGAGCACAGTGGGATCAAGTTGAGCGTGCCCAAAGCTAAAGGAGAGACACTGGAGGAAGCAGGTGTGATCGAGCCTCCGTGCTCATGCATTGCTGCTGTGGAGTGACAACCTCTTAGTACACAGACACAAGTGAGACTTGGGATGCCTGCACACATGAAGGCATTACCTTGTTCACTTTACTCGTGGACTGTCTCCCTTCAGGAAATTCCAAGTTTTGGTGTGGGTAAACAGAACCAACAGAATGCAAATGAAACATTTATTAAAATGCTAAATTTAGTAAGCCCTTTGAGCTTCTTGGATCAAAGCAGCTATGTAAATACAAATAGCAATTACTACTTAAGTAATTGCCTGAATTAAAATTCTAAATATCACATTATATTATGCTGCACCAGGGAAGGGAAGGGAAGGCACATTAAATCAGTCCCTTCTTGCTTGCCAGTTGCCGCTAGACTCTTGCGTGTGGAGTGATGTCTCATTTTATTTCACAGGACTACTTGGGATGCAGTGGGGACTGTCACCCCATTTTACAGCTGAGGAGGCTGAGTTACAGAAACCAGTGATGGCTCTACAGTACACAACTGATTTAGTGTCATAGCCAAGATCCATATTCAGATCTGACTTTCAAGTTTCCCATTCGGTATAGAAGTGAATACCTAAGTGCAAAAACCAAAGTCTCTAAGAGAAACTTATTTAATTGCCGTTCAAGCAACAATCAATTATTGCCTAATATTTTGTGTACATTACAACATACAAAGGAAAACAAGCCCCCTCTTTATTTTCCTATAGATAAAAATAGTTCCTAGGTCTTTGTTATCTTTGATGAAGGGAGGTGAGATTCGTAAGATATAAATCACTTCTGGTCTGAAATAGTACATGAGGACAAGAAAA